AAAGCCCCATTTCTATAAGCACTGCTGTGCGCACCATCAACGCTATTTATGGGCTGGGAGATGGGGGTCTGGGAAGAGGAACGTGCAGGGAGGAAGCCATTCCAAGCTGACAGTGAAGTCACACAGCTGTGCAGCCACCAGCAAGATTTGCTCTGGCCAAAGCAACTCTTCCCCAAAACAGCAGCCAGGTAGAGGAGCTTGCTTCATTGAGACCCTTCAAATGGTCTCTTATTCAAAGTCAAACAAAAAGGCATCTACAATCATGCAACAGCAAAATGCAAGGGCAGAAGCTGCCAAAACACCACAAGCCCCAAGAAGGGAGATCTGAGCATAGGACAGTCAGGGATCCCCAAGTTTCAGTCTGGACTTGCTGTAGCTTAGAGTAAATCCTTTGTCCTTTGTGTCCATTTTTCCATCTCATAAATGATGCTGTTCTCTGGTTTCTAGCCATGCTGAGGGTTAGCGCTTGCACAATGATTTAATGATGAAAAGCTCATTTGAAAAAGCCTGATTCTGCTCTGGAAAGTAAGTAAAAGCACCCTCACCCACACTCTGCTTGTGCTCTGAGATGTATTTGCTGACTGAGATGCATCGTTTCAGCTCTTTCTCCCTGCAACCTGGCTCTGGGGGAGGGAGGGATGTGAAGCCTCCACCCTTCTGGTCCGGCACAGTCATCTGTTGAGCCCCAGAACATGACAGGTGAATGGACTCATAGATACCAGAAGCCTTCAGACACCCTTACTGGGAGTAGCAGGCCAGGAAGAAGGGTCCCCACTTGATTCCCTAAGCTAGGCTGAGCTTGCTGTGACTGCAGGTAGAAATATATCAACTCTTGTTTCCAATACACTGAGCACATCTGATACAGAAGCACTGAGAAAGTCCCCAGCCACCATTCTCCAATGTCGCTTTCTAGAGGAAGGGCAAAGGATTAGCTATAATTAACTAGCTAGCTTCTGGCTGGCTGCCATGCGTCAGATGGTCCCCAGATGGGTCCTGTGGTTATCAGCATCCCAAGGGAGCCCATCATCTGGTGCCTGCCCCTGTTACGCACGAGAGGCCAGAACCACCACCTCCCTCTCATTTGTAAAGTTTCCATTTAAAAAAAGCCAATGAATTTACGTTTTAGACGTGTCACAGAACAGCAGAGGCCTCTGTCAGAACTAAACAGGGAAGGCCACTTCACATATGCCACAGTTCAGAAGAGCTCAGCCCAGCTGTGCTTGCTCCCTGGGAGCCCCCATTAGTAATTAGCTCAAGAGCCTGATGGGCAGACCCTTGTTACTGCAAATGGCCAGAAAGCATATGCTGCAAACCAGAGGCTACCCAATGCTACTAGCTAGCAGGCAACCCACTGCATGCTGGGCCTGTCAGCTCTCAAAAGCAGCCCGCATCAGGCTGAAAATGCAGTCAGAACAGGGTGTGCAATTCACCTATAAGTGCTCCTGCCTGAGCCCCCGCCTGAGCACAATGCTCGTTCCAAAGACCAGGCTGCTACTTGGTGATGCCATGGATGCAGCTCAAAACAGAGGTCACCACTGTCTGTGCTCAGAAGAGACACCAAACCAACTCTTTCTGCAGATGGAGAGGTGCTAATGGTCCCACCCTGGAGAAATTCCTACATGGGAAGTGAACACAGTCACCTCAAAAGCCTCCAAGATTCCAGAGGGACAGAGCCCGCCTGGTGCTACCTGTGTTGAGAAATAGCCCTATCTACCCAAAAGATGCTTTCTCAGCACAGCCAACACCAGGGCAGCTCCCACGGACAACTTGGCAGCAGGAAACTTACACCAGGCCAAACCAGTCTGCCCCCAGCAGAGTGACTTCTCGTGTGGTTAGATGTGCATACAGCAGTAACACAGGGCACTGGAGGATGCTAACACCAGTGAGAAATGTAGACACATCCTACGCACAGACGCAGAGAGGCAACACTCATGCAGGGAATCAGCATGAGCAAGGACAGAACACTGGCAGCCAACTTGCTGTGCCTGGGCAGCCCCATTTCTTTCAGCAGCTGCCTCTGCCCCATCAGTGGGAAGCTGGTGATACCAGCTGTGGACTCAGCTCAAAGGGATGGCAGGGCGGAGCTTTTACTCTGTTCTTTTTGTCCCAAAGGGACTTTTTAAGAGAGATCATTGCTAAAAGGGAACAAAGAGCCTGAAAATGCAGCATAAAGTCTCTGGTGAAGCACAAAACTGGACAGCTCCATGGCTTTATCCCTCCACTCCCCCAATGTGGGAAAGCACTGTTCCAGACCAGAAGCTCTGCACACTCCTGCCGTCGGGGCTTGAATACAAGGAGTACTGTCCCCCTAGTGCAAAAAGGCCCCTGCTGGCTTTTGAATGTCACAATGGGCCATCCGTGCCAGCCTCCAATGGCCTCACCATGCAGGGTGCCACATGCCAATGCTGCAGCATCATAGGAAAGTGCACCAGGCAGCACTCAGAGAAGAGAGAGAGCACTGAGCATGGAGACCCTGCAAATCCACAGGTGGGAAGATGAGGCCATGCTGGCCAGGGAAAGCCAGAGTTCTGCTCCATTCTGAGCCCAAAAGGCTGTTTAGTAGCAGTTTAAACATGCTTAGAGCAAATGGGCATGCAGCACCCCCACTCAGCAGCATGGCCAGGGCAGGGACAGGAGAAACTCAGACCTGTCTGGGACTGTCCTAGACACTTACTGAATACAATGCATCTCACATTGCACTGGTCATGGGGACTAGCCCCCTCCACTGCATGCAGCGTCAGAGCCCCCTTCATCAACTGACCAAAGGCCATCTCATAACAAGGTACATTTTGTGCCCACTGCTGCCAGGAGATGACTGCGCCAGAGCCTGCAGAACTACACAGAGCTCTGCCCAAGCCAGCCATGGTGGCATTGCCTGGGGGCTTGTAGAGAGAAGCAACTGCATTACCATGAGAATCACCCCATCACTCTTCCCAAATGAGGCACAACAATCAACGGTTGAAGTTGGCTCTCACTACTGATGCTGCCAGCCCATGCCCTGAGTCCTGTGACCCACCTAGTCACCTCTGCTTAGCAAAGTTGGACATTTCCATCCCAACCACAGCTGCTTCTTCTGACAGGGGGGCTCCAGCTTCAATATAGTGCTGCCACTTGCCCAGACAGCTGAAACATGGGTAGCCCATGCTAATTAATTTGCTGTTGCTGTGCAGGGCCCATAGTGGTAGCTTTCAGCCTGGGGGGTGCACATCCAATCTGCTCCAGTCATTTTTCAGGATTGCTCTAAACCAGGGCTTGGCAATATCTTGGAGAGGGGGAGCACTTTAACACAGATTAATTCAGAGCACAGGCTGCTTCCAGTCTGTCCTGCACGACCACAGCCACGGTCAATGCTTCCCCTCCCCGTGTTGCTGCTTCTCCCCACTGCTGTGTTAGCAGAGTCCCCCAGAGAAGCCCCCTGGAGCTGAAACACCATAGAAGCCCCCTGTCTCTGTGAGCCAAATGCAGGCAATTGGGAAACTTCCTGTTTTGAGAAGCTACCTTGAGCTCCACAATGCTGTGTAAAGAGCAGTGAATTCAAGTACTGTAAGAGCAAGGCTGGCAGGAGGGTCTGGTGTTAGGTTACACTGCAGGAGGCGTACCTAATACAAGTACTCCTCACTTAGCATCATCCCTGTTAATGTTGTTTCGTTATGATGTTGCAGATCTATTAGAGAACATACTCATAGTACCTTGAGTAAGAGGCACTGTAAGTCAGTTAAAAATCTTGCTTACTCCCCCCCCACCCTTAGAATATTCTCAGCTGAGAGAACCACAGCTGGACTGTCGGGGGGGGGGGGGGGGAAGGCCCCCCCACCCCCCCAGGGAGACGGGGGGGGGGGGGGGAGAAAATCCCCTGCCACTCCCCAAGGGCTATACCCATGCTCTGAGAGCTATGAGTATGTTCAAGTCGCACAATGTTCAGTTATAACATTGTTTGGCTGCCACCTGCTAGTAGGTAACTACTGTGACATAATTGGATTTGCTTAACATCGTTTCGCTTGAAGTCGCATTTTTCAAGAATGTAACGACGACTTTAAGCAAGGAGTATCTGTACATGGTGGCTGGTATTACAGCTGGGCCTTGCTCCCTGTCTTCTATCTCCAGATGGTGCTCAACATACATGGCCAGGACTCAGCCAGGGCCCTGGGGGACTGGCAGGGGAGAGGAGGAGGGCATTCCCCCCCCCACCCCCAGCAGTCCAGCTGTGGTTCTCTCAACCAAGAATATTTGTGTGCGCGGGGCGGGGGAGGGGGGGGGCACCCAAGATTTTTAACTTACTTGCAGTGCCTCTTATTCAAGGTGCTGTCAACAGCAAGCTAAGGACAGGTTTCCCTGAAGCACAGCTAGAATGGAGCCTGCCTGTTG